GCATAAAGCCCAAGACCTCATTGTAGAATTTTATTACTCTTAATGGAGCATCATATTTTATTATACTTTTCAATCTGATGCTCTCCTTCTTCCTGAATGGACAAAGACTTGTATTTATTTTAAAATATAAACACCCTATTGAAATTAATTTTTTTTTATCAAATTCTTTGTATTATATCAATTATAGAATTTTGATTAAGATTTTAACTAATATGCTTAAGGGTCTTCTATGCTCCCTCATCTCTAAGGAATAATCAACTCCCTCTAGTAGATTTATTTATGATAACAATTTGGTTAGATCGTTAACTCTTTCTATAATTCTAAGAGTAAGAATCCTTATATCCTTATTAAGATTGATTTGAAGAAGACTCATGACATATTATCTTGAAAGATGATTCTTTAAATATTATATTTGACTAATTTTTCTCCTAAATTTATTCATTAGATTAAAGCTTATATTTCTTTCTTTTGCATGCTAGATTAATTAATGATACACATATTTTTTTCTTTCTATGATCAAAGAAATATTTATTAAGGGATCCCCTCTCGCCCTACCTATATATCCTTTGTAGTCCAACGATTATCCCTTCGTCTACATGATTATTATAATAATAAAAAAATTCATTCCTTTCTATTTTATTATTTTTCTAAAATTTATCACTCGCTAACATCTTGTTTTGTTTTAGGGCTAAAAGAAAATCTTATCTTATTATTATATAGGTTTTGAAGTCTTATGATTTGTTAACTAATCAACGTATTATTATGTCTAAGTATAAGATATTCTTCCATCGTAATGCTTGGGAGGATTTAAGAAAGAAAATTTTACAACTTGTTTAATATCAAAGATGACAAACTTTCTTTTTTAAGTATTTGTGTACTCTTGTTAGATATATTCTGATCTGGTCCATTAATACCCTAGTTGAACCTGTGTTTGCAAACTCAATCTTTTGTATGATTTCCTAGGAGGGTTATTTTGATTAATTTAATTCTTAATGTTGTGCCTCTTCATTCTTTAAATGTGACCTGTATGTCCAATATCATTCTTAATAGCATCGTTAAACTAGAAATTTTCTTTAGGCTAATAGTGGTAATTATAGGGGGTCTTTGTTTATTTTTTGGGACATTATTACTCTCCCTAAGTTTGATGGGGTCTTGGGGTTAAGAATTTACATCATATGAAAGTTTTTCTTCAAGGTTTCTCTATACCTTCCTAATGGTGATGCAATTTGAGTTAATGTGGTCAAGGCTAGATATGAGCTTGTTTCCCCATGAGAGATTCAGTATTGTTCTAAATAAAGTTAGAGTCGATGCTTATTTCTTCTTACACTTGAATATTTGAGAGATGGTTTGGATTGCTTTGAAACCCATTTTTTGTAATATGCAAGCTTTGGATGATTCTTTTGTAGTTTCTAATTTTCTTATAAATCGATGATGAAATGTTGATTTATTAGATTCTTTATGGATCCTATTTGAGATATCAAAATTTTTCTATAATCGTATAATAATTAATAATAAGGGAATATGTTCTACCAAATCTGTATATGTTTTTCATTTCTGCTAAGGTTGAATGAATGACACTAAGACGGATTGACGACGTTGTTTGTGGTAGCTCTCAGTATTATCTCGAATTAAAATATTTTATAAAAAAATTTACACTATCAACTCTTCTTCTTCTTTTTTTCAAGTCTTTTGTCTTGATTTATATTTGTAGTACTCACTCATATCCCTTTTATGATTTTATTGTGGAATCCATTGATCATTTATTTTTTTAAATGTTCTTTCATTGTTTCCATATGGTATCTCTTTGAATCCAAGCGAATTTTTGCTTCTTTGCAGATTGGGTGGATGATAAATGGCTCGATGATAGTAGTTTGGGTGGTCAAAACTTTCAGGCTTTGATTGCTATTAGCCTTTCATGGATCTAACGTGCAAGGAATGATATAATTTTTAATCAGATTGTCTTCTCTCCTAATAAGATTTTACATAGAACAGTTGCAACAATCCTAGCTAATGATGAGGCCAGATTATCATGATTACATTTTATAATGTAAGGAAGATCCGAATTGAATCTAACTTAACGATTATCATTTCTATGATATACAAAAAATGTGTTGTTGCTTGATCACTACTTAATTGATAGAATCTTAAAGATATATTGTTTGGAGAAAAGAATGATACTTTCTTCTTTTATCATTAATCTACTCCGATGCTAAGGATGATTTCTTGTACTCATATGATTTAAACAATAACAACTTTCCAATGTATAATGAAACCCAATGCATGATTTATTAGACCTACGATAATAAGTTTACGATGAACAATTAAAAGTGAGAAATACACTAATCCATCATCATCATCATCATCATCATCATCATCATAAAAAAAACATAAAAACGTACATAGGTCTTAACGCTACATAAGGTGAAGAATTGAAGTGCAAAATATCGAGTTCTATATATCTTCACCACTAATTTAAGCTCTTGATTGAAATGCCAATAAGTAAAAGAAATTTAGCCGTTAATACATCATCATTAAATAAGATAACCAAGAGAAATTATGTGAAGTTATTGTAGACCATAAAACACCATCTTTTATGCAAAGTATGACTTCACATTAAGTAAACACCATCTTTTATGCTAAAGGTGTTTTAATGATGTGCTTATATACATATGATTTCATATCTTTGTCATGTATTTATGGTCTCATGTTTACCAACTTTATCCCTTTTTCTATTTAAATCATGTATCTTCTCATCAAATTAAAGCTCTATGGAATTGAATTGCCTTTGTGCTTAGGTCTTGAGAGGTTGAAAGTTACTGGAGGAATATGTGAACCAACCATTCTAACATCATCAATTAAGTCTCATTGAGCCCAATTTGCTCCTTATGATTCAATTTTGGAAGTTTAAATCATTAATTAATATGCTTGTGATTGACTTGCATTCATAAGGCATTTATTTTCTTCAACCGTATTTTACTATTTCACACTCTATTTTTAGATTTTTAGTTAGAGGATAAGAGAGACAGAAACTCTCATCAACTCAATTCTTGGTATCACTTTTATTCAATTATAAATCATATTTTGGAAAACTCATTTTAGGTTAGACATCATTATTTTTAATTATAGGAGATGTCAATGATTTGGAGCTAATTTGGTCTATTCAAATAAAAACTACATATGGGCCGGGCCCCACTGATCTTAAGTTGGTACTAAGAAGACAAGGAGTTGGGAGGATTCCATAAATGGAAAGTTAAAAAGTAGTGTGCCAAAAATAATTTATAATAAGCTTTAATAATTATTTAAAGTCAATAAAAAATATTTTTTAATAAATAATTATATGAAATCGTCTGTCGAACATGAAAAGTCGCTCCAAGCATATGTCAAACTGATAGTGTTATGATGCTCAATTGTCGGCGTGCTAAATCCTTACAACTATTTAATTTTTTAATTTATAATGATGACCATCTTGTTAGACAAAAGGTCACATCAATACAATTGTTCATCAGGGATAATGTGTACCCACTATAGTTATGATTAGCATCCTAATTTATATATTTACGAAGGTGAAACATTTAACCCTAATTTTTTTTATACGTTAATTTCGTCAACGGAAAAAAATCGTACATATAAAAAATATGAATAGAAGGGATAAAAATGTAATTTCATTATCTTTCCAAACTGCTCCGTCATAATTCCAAACTGCTCGCCCGTAGTCAATCGTGCCTTTCTACTCGCCTGCCACACCATCTCACCCACCTCTCACTCGTTGCACTCGCTCATCCGCTTGCAACGACTAGAAAGCTAGTGCAATGGGCAAACGAGTGTAGCAAGCTACACTCGCGAGCAAGAAAGTGAGATAGGGTGTGTCAGGCGAGTAGGAAGGTGAGATACGGTATACGAGCAGTTTGAAAAGAGAAAAAGAGAAAATTAGTAAAGTTTATATAAAATTTATATTTTAAAAATAATAAAATTATATTTTTATCATTTTTATTTGTGATTTTTATTGCATGTTCGATTTTTTTCATCGGCAAAGTTAACGATATATGGATAATTGGAGTTAAATATTTTATCTTCATAAGTATATGAACTGTAATACTACTTTTTAAAGTATATGGATCAATATACTAATCATAATTAACTATATGAGATAATATCTAATTACCCAATAATCTCAAAAGTCTCCCGAGCCTTTATTACCCTGCCATACACAATCTAATCACCTCTTCTCTCTCTCTCTCTCTCTCTCTCTCTCTCTCCCGTAAGCGCTTAATTTTCCTCTCTATAAAATATTAGTGAAAGATTAGATATAAAGTTTTGAATCTATAGAAACGATAAATATTAGAATTTTTATATAATTAAATAATATATAATTTAATACTGAATATATTATAAATAATATAATAATATAGGCTAATCAAATTAGTAATTGAATATTAAGCAAATCATAAAGAAAAAAAAATTACTCACAAACTAGATCAATCTTTTACTATAAAATAATAAGATTACAAATATCATTTTTTTTTCTAGATTAATTAGAGGATGTTAATAATATCATATGAAAACCAATGGGTTTCGAGATATCAAAGAGTTTTTTAAGAAATCAGAGAGAAAAACTGAACAGAAGAAAAAATCTTAAATCTTAAAGATCTATGCCGATTAATTCAGAGAGCATGATATCGAGATCAATATATCGAAATACCATGTTAATAAGAACCAGTTTTACTAATTAATTCTCTATATTTATATTTTTGAGTTATTGCATCAGAGTCTTCAGCAAAGTATAAACAATTTCTTCTTCTCTTCCTCTTCATGATGATTTTGAGCACCATCGCATTTGTAGTCTGTTCAGAAAAGTTAATTCTTCCCATTACAATTTTGGACCATTAAGTGCCTATTTATTTATCTGTCAATTTCTTGTATCCCTTCTCTGATGTTTCATGCACAGACTAATCTGACTTAGAACCTCTCATCTTCTCATTGCACTCATCCATTACTTCTCCTTTTTGATTTGCAAGACAAATTCAGAATAATGAACATCATTATTACATGCATGCAGCATTACAACATCTGCAAAGCCAAGCTTTGTCTACCACCTCAACATCTACTCTGGACTCTGTTCTGGCACAAACAGGAAGAAGAGAGGAAAGGAAGGCACTCTGCTGCGCGTGCTCGTCGTCATGCCGGAGCCACTCACGAGATTGAATTCCTCCATCTCCTTGGTCCCTTCTTTGTCGCCTCCGTTGCTGCGGTGCCCGGCATGGGAGCCCCGATCTCGTTCGCCTCGCTGGTCATCTTGGTCAGCTTGCTCAGTTTCTTCCACCCGGTGCTCCACGGCGACGACGACTGCTTGCTGGGCTTCGTCGACGACATCTTCTCGAACTGCCTCTGCAGGTTGTCCATGTCGTTCTGGAGCTCCAGGTACTTGGCCTTCATGCTTTCCAGCTCGAACTTGAGCGTGTTGATGTCCTTCTTGGCGGCCGCCCATCCTTCCTGGAACGACTGGGGCGTCCCTTCCAGTAGCTGTCTCCGTGCCGAGATCACGGGCTGGTAGTGCGACTCCACCGCCTCCTTCAGCGACGAGCTCGCGATGGCGTTGCTTATCTTGACTTGCTCGGAGAAGAGCACCTGCACCACCACCCGCAGCGGCAGGCGCTCGTTCTGCGCCGCGTGCATGCAGGCGTCGATGGACAGCTTCTGGCAGTCCATCACGCGGCACAGCCTCTTCCTCTCGTGCTCGGTCAGCGTCGGGTGTGCCTAATTGATATCATGGTCAGACAAATCAAGAGATGAACTCATCGATGGACGAGATTGCAAATGTTGATTGCAGTGAGTTAGATATCAGTTTCAGGGTTCATACCTTGAGATAAGAGTCGACTGCTCGATAGAGCCCGTCGTCGCATGTCCTGGTGGACTCCGGCAATGCTTCTGCCAGAACCTGAAACTTGGTCAGGGAGAGGTTCCTGTCCCTGGAGACCTCTGTGAGATAGCTATCGAGCAGTCTTGCGACTCTGGTCTTGGCATTGGGTCCGCTGGCTCTTTGATTGGCCTCATAACTGTGCTTATCTGGGTATGGCTCCCTGCCTGGGCTGGAAGACTCTGTTTGCTCTTGAACCAGGAAGTGCTCAAGCAGCCTCTGAACCAAATCCACATCGTACAGCGTCTCGCTCTTATGGAAGGAAGGGATGAGAAGGTCCGGCAGAGTCGCCTGCTCCAGCTGCATGCCGACTCGCTTCTCCAGTTCCGTCACCAGCGCAGGTGCCACCTTCAGCATGTTCGCTAGTCTGAGCAGCCGGAGGAGGAAGCTGCAGGTGACGCAGTCCTTCTGCGGTGGAATTATGCTTATGAGGCTTTCGATCACCATGCGCTGCTCTCGGATCTGACCGCTCGACAAGTCATCCTTGCTGCCACTTCCTGCGACGATCAGATGCAGTCCTCCTTGGTGACTCCACGGCTCCTCGCCCCCCTGCGCCCCTTCTTTCGTCAGCCCCGGCAACCACTTCGATGCGTAGTGCATGATCGCGGCGCCGATCAGCTCGAACCTCATCCCCTTCACCTTGATGGCAGTGACCACTCGCACGAAGTGATCGATCCGGAGAATCGACACGTCCTCGAACCACCAGTCCGGGGGGACCGGCTGGCTCCGGCTCGGGCTGGATTCCTTGGAGTCACCATTCCACCTGGGGCTGGAAGCTCGCGCAGGCCTCCCGGTGTACGCCCACCGAATGCCTCTCGGGTTGGCGCAGGCCTTCCAGGCGATTGACTCGCTGCACCGTCGCACGATCTGGAGGTTCTCTGCCCACGGCGAGAGGCTCTCGCAGCTCTTCAGCACCACGATCGAGTCTCGCCAAGAGGACAAGACGACGTAGCTGAGGAAGGCTTCTGTTTTGAAGATCAAGTTGCCCTCCTCCAAGTCCTCTGTCATCTCCAGGTACTCCGCGGCGCAGCGCAGCCCGGAGATGTTGGAGGCCGTCAGATCCACCGCTATGCCGTAACAAAACTTGGCCGCCAGTTCGAATGCTTCCGGGCCTCCCGGGAGATCATCCAATTCCACCAGGCTTGGTTCTGATTCCCGGGATGACTCGTATATGATTCTGTTCATTCTTCCACTCCTTGAGAGCAAAGGATACTTGAGAATCGAAGTAGAACAAAGCAGATTCTTAGTCAAGTCATTGCATACTTACGAACACCGCAAGAATCTTGTTGAGGATACAGAACACATGCAAGACTACAAGTAAATAACAAAGGAAAGGGAACAACCTTGTGCAGGTGGAAGCTGACACCTCCCACTTTAACCAGCAAATCACTGGGGATATCACTGGAAACAAACCTGTACAGAATTTTCATATGGGCTTTTTGTCATTACGTTGGTCGAATCATGGAGTTCACGAGATCTACTGAAGGAGCAACCGCGAGAGGCTACTGAAACGAAGTACAAGAGGTACCAGGACTGGTCTCTGCGCTCGAAGCCATCGGTCTTGAGGCCGTCGTGCTTGTCAGGCTCAAGGTCTCTCCCTCCGCCGCGGCCGTCGCTCTCGGATTCCCACATGGTCGGGCTGAGAACGAGAGACCAGCAGGAGGCGGCCCAGAGTTAGCCAATAACCTTGGAACAATTGCCGGGAAAAAGATTGGAGATGAAACTTACTGAAGAACAAGATATCAAAGATCCGAGCCACAACAAAGTTTAGACCTTCAGAAGTGAGGGGCTAAGCACGAAGCGGAGAGACCAGCTTCAACCTCATAAAGGATGAGAACACTCTTCAGCTGAGCTCATGAAGACTTACAGAGATGAAGATTAAGCGCAAGAGAGGCTACCCACAGAGCAGAAGTTACAGCTGAGTTCACCAGAGAGAGAGAGCGAAGGGGAGGGAGGCCAGATATACCTTGGTGCTGATGAAGGAGTGGAGAATGATATCACATGGGATGTTTGGTGTTATCTGGACTTGTCGAGGCTGTAGGATCATGGGCACTCTCTCATGTATTTTTGCTTGCTTCCATGGATTGTAAACTATTTTTGTTTCTGATCAAAGGATATATGGCTGTGTTTACTTCACCAATCTCAATCTTTCAGCTATGTCTTTCTGTAGCTTTTTTTCCTGTTTGTTTCTACCAATGGCGGGTCACTTTTCTTGCATCTGCAGTGGTGGATCTACCCCTCCAATACCCCTCATTTTCTGTTCATCCATGTAACAGGGAAACTTTTCTGTCTGCAGAATGTAGATTTGTTCTATCACTCTCTTACGACACGGCTCAATGCGTGGAAACAGCCTGCACATACTCTCTGTAAGTTCGGGACAGTTGCTGCAGATGAAACATCCATGTTCTAATGGAAACAACTATGGTGGTAGGAATCAGGAACCTCTCACATCGCCCATTTTTTGAGAGGCAAGTGTTGTGGATCCCCTTGTGATTTGACATACCACGGATGAGTGTCCACGTAACGCTTCTCTATCTCCCCCCCCCCCCTCTCTTGGGTGAGGCTTCGCCAGATCTCCTTGCAGGTTGACCATGCTCGGGAACAAGCCCTTCCCATGGAAGATGGGACCAGCGTGGGGCCCACAACATAATGGCACGATGAAGTTGACTACAAAGGATCATAATTTGACTGTCTTTTGCAGAGCTGCTGCGTTGTGCATCCCTCCAACAAAATTGACCTTTGGCGGTAAAAGTTCATGCCGTGCAGGACAATTATACTGATCCATGAAGGTCTGGTGATGTGAACAATATAACAGCAAAAAGTTATGACACCAAGAAATGAAATGAGCTTTCGATCAATGTACTGTTGGTGGGCAGAGTATGAAACAGTTCGAATGCCAGACAAATTTCATATTTAAAATGCACATATATATTATTGAGAAATTATATAGATACATGCATGTTAAATATGCTATATACTTTTCCTTCGACATTGATTGGACAATATGTTCTTTTAATTGAACAGTGTATAGATGAAATAACTACAGGCATCCTTTTTAGGGGATTTAATCTACTTTTAATCAGTGATTTTTTTTTGAAGATTAAGTATTATTAATTCCAATGAATAAAAAGAAAAAACAATTAATATAAAAGAAAAACCTCAACCCACCTTTGGTTAAGGGAATGGGGGATATGAAGAAGACTGGTGGATGATGGTGATGCCACGTTGCCTCAAACTCCTCCACATATGCTTTGCTTTGGGTTGAGCCCCCCTCCTCTGACCTACATGCATTATGCTGACAATAAGACAATGGCCACCGCCATTATGAGGCCAAGATTACACGCATACATATATCCTTTCAAAATAAGTAGCTTTGATATTTATATCTCTAAATCTAAGTTTGGCATATATTTTATGATCAAACCTAAAAACTTGATGTACATAGTCTTAAAGCAAAAGTTTGATTAGGTTGTGAAGTTACTCGTTTATTTAATGGACATATAGTTGAATCAGTATCCTATCCCTCAAAAATTATAATGATTCTTACATTAGTAAGAAATATAATTAGCCATTCAAAAGCCTTAAAGAGTTTTCCATAAATCAATATACTTGAAAGTCTTTATAACTGATTCTCTAATGAGAAATAGTTTTATATAAATATTAAACTTTACATAAATCGTCTGAATTGTTATAATTATGATGCCACATTGATCACACAAATATTTTGGCTAATGTATTGAGATAGTAAGATGATGACATTACATATAAGTGTCCTTATGTTATAATGACAAGATAGTGACATGGCATATAAGTATCCTTATGTTATATTTTTATAATATTTAATAATTTATAATTATTTTAATATATAACTCTAAATAATATTATATAATAATTTAATATATTTAAATATTTTTAATTCAAACTAATTAATATTAACTATAATAGAGCATGGTTAATCTGAGTTTTTCTTATGAATATTAATCGGACAAATATACATATATATATACATATATATATATATATATATAGGATATTTCTGAGCTTAAATGGATAGACATGTAAAGCCCCTTTATTAAATGATTCTTGTTTATCTCCAAAGTGCATCAATCACGAGGACATTGTTTGCTGCATCAGCAGCATCCGAGTATATCTGAGCTCTACTTTAATCAAATCGGAAAACCTTGATATGTCCATTCTTTTGTCTCTTGTGTTCTTATATTTTTTTCCCCTTGTTGACCCTTACTGTATCGGTCATATACCCTTAATTTTATTTAACGGAGTCACCTGAGGTGTGCATCAATTAGGATGCTTGTGATTTAGCTATGCACTGTGTTTGAGACATCCCCGATAATAGGACGATTAGGATATATTACATTTATCACATGTCTCAAAGTTTGTAGGCTTCACATGAAACAAAAAAGGATGTGTGACAAGTTATATATTATTCTATCTTGATTTGACTGGTAAAATTATGTTTTTGACGTCGCATAAAGGCAACCACACCTTTTCATTAAATTATTGTATATAAACCAATGGACCTAAGGAGGGACACGATTTGATATTAACATAAGAAATGTGTTTGGAATAGGTTGTAGGCCATCATGTTTGACATCTCAACCCATTTCCCTTCTTTTGATATAGGTCAAAAATACCATACCTTACTATAAGTTAATTTTTAGCCAAAAAATTAACTATAAGGATTATTTCTTTTCAATTTATATTTGATAGTTGGGTAAAAATATAAAGCAAAATTATATTTCTATATATAATTTACTACAAAATTATTATTTATTTTTATCAGATGATGTCCTTCATAATTATTTTTAATTTGGGCTGCCTCTTTTTTCTATTTGGATAAAAATTCTCTCACTCTTTGTGTTAAATGACATTAGAACCAAGGCATAATTGATTTTTTTTTTCCCTGATGAAAATAATCTGATCTATTCAGATCAAATATATATATGTGTGTGTGCGCGCTCGTGTGCATGTATGTATATATATATATATATATATATTTAGATATTTATATTTGTGTGTGTATATATATATGAAAATATTGTTAATGTAGAAGTTAATGGGATATTTAGATATTTATATTTTAAATTCTTTTTTACTCAAACAAAGTAATAATGTTAGGAGTGATTGACTTGAGTGTTGCAAATGGGTATTAATGATAGTGACATGGGTGGAGGATCTCAATTTTCATGTCCAAGTTTTTGAATATAATTATGTTTGCAGTATAAAGCAATCATTAATGATCATGCCAAATGAAAAAATAATGTGTTGCTCCTCTAATCAAGCTTTTAACTTCTGGTTGGACTTAGTTGTGAGGAGAAGAACAATGAAAAGTATGCATGCTTCATGTCAGTTGGAACATCATGCTCAATCTGAAAGGTATGTACATGGGACCGCAAATTGACCCTGCCATCTATCGCTGCACCCTTGTATTGCAGAACTCATCCTGCATTCTTCATCTCCTTTGTCATATGAAAAGCATCAGTGTGTCTGTCGTAAGTACTGCCTGCAGAAGCTGCAGAATGCATTCTGCATTCTCGACTTGATATCACTTCTTGGTCATATGATAAGGATCAACATGTCTGTCACAAGTACATCCCGCAGTTGCGCAACGCGCTTTGCATCCTCGACATGGCCTTCGTGTTTGTATGAAACCGCATCACCGGAGCTAATGGTGTAGGTCATCGGAGAGCTGCGTCCAGATCTTGGGAGGCGGGGCACAGGCGAATCCATGAAAGGCCAGATCAGAGGTCTTCTTTTCTACCCGTGTCCTACGTCTCTGCGTGTGTGGTCCATCGCTACTGGTCCAGTGCCTCGGATCCATAAGCTCATCATCCTCTCCTGCTCTACTCTGGCCGATGGGTTCGGCATGGGCCCAGGAATGTGCCAACGCCGACGACATGCACCAGTTCCATTAATAACTCATCATATCCCCATGGTAGAAGCCGCATCACCTTCAACGGCCCCATGCTTCCCACTAAGCTGTACTCTTCGAATCTCCCAGAGATCACACCTCTCTCTCTCTCAATTCTTTTGGTCTTCGACCAACTTGAACAAAAGAAAGAAATGGTAAAAAGATGGTAAGAGTGATCGAAAAGACGAAGCAGTATCCTTGTCGAAGGTCACAAGAAATATTGGATCTTTTCCTTTCGTTTTGTTTGGTAGAGACGAAGAAGCAGATGCGGCATGAGCTCTACATGCATCAGTGCTGTGGTACTGTGGGACTTGGTTTGGAATCGGTGGGAGGGCGACAAATGCTGAGCCTCCTCCCAACAACAAACACCTGTGTGCGTTAATGGCGAGGAATCAGACCATGCATTGCATCAGAAGGCGATACTGTACTCGTAATAAATGCAAGCGAGCTGCAGCTCGTGGCTGCCAACGCCTGACGGTGTAAAGAACCTCATCTCTGAGAGAGAGAGAGCGAGAGAGAGAGAGAGAGTAGAACTGTACAGTAATGGCAGCGAGTAAAACCAGAAAGGCTGAGGCAGCCTCTGAACGCTAAACCACTAAAGACGAGGGGGGAGTAAAGGAATACATTTCCTGCGGCTCTTCATTCAATTCGTTCTCCATGAATACACCCCACTGCAGCAACTTCTCATTCTTACATTACAGTATTATGGATGCAGGAAAAGGAAAACATGGTTAAGTCAGTTTAAAGGGGGATCATAAAACTACTGGTACTGTCCGCCCTTTGTCGTTGTTAATAGATCAGCACAAGGGAGAAGAAGATAAGCTTGGAGAATGAATCCAACAGTAACACTATGGGCATCTCTTCCCACTCCCTCTCATTCTCCTAGCTGATCACCTCTATTCCTTGCTGTTCCAGCATGTGTTATTGCTGAACTCACATTCTTCTCCATAGTAAAGCTACATTGATCAAAACCAAACAATCTTACTTCTCCACCACCCCATTCAACAATCATCGCAAAGGAGCTGGAACAGCAGTCAACAGCACTACGCAGATAAATCGACGAAGAAGATAAAAATAAGAACTGCTAGCTAGCGGGACATAAAGGAATAAACCAAAGAAAGAAGAAGTCCCTAACTCGATTCTCTAATAAGATCGACAAGTCATGGTGTGGAGTGGTTGGAGAAAAGAAGGAAGCTCTAGGGTTTC